GTCTTGATCGGTGGTCATTTTTGATTAATTTCATGGTTGAAAATAATTGTTCGCAAACATACGTACTTCCGAACAGAGACATCATTTGCTTTGCATTTTTCGTCAAAAGCGGAAATTTCTCAGGGCTCACATAAGATTTATAAAAATTTTCGATGTTTACTGAGAAAAATACATTTTTTAAATCGGTATTATTCTGCATGTCAATCACTTCCATTTGAAAGTCTTCGGGAACTGTATCCACATCGACATTAAATGGCGAGGAAAACATTTTCATGGAAACCGCTGTCTTCTCAGCTTTGAACATTTGGAATCGTAATTGAAATTCGTTGATTAAAATGTCTATATATTGTGCGTATTTTTGAGAAGTAGTAACGTTTTCTTTTTCTAAATGTGGAAAGTGAGACACATTATTCTGCAAAAGATGCTGTTTCCACAATTTTAATTTGCGCTCAAAGCCCTGAATTTTATCATACAAATTGTGAATAAACTGTCCTTTGCCTTGAAGTTCCACATTAAGATCATTGAGATGCTGAGTCATGTCGATAAGAAACCCAAAATCGCACATCCATTCTTTATTACCAAAATGAGGAAAGGCATATCCCTTCATATCCAAGAACAATTGTATTTCGCTTTTTAAGTTGTATACTCTTTTTAGCATTGCACCTCTACTAAGCCAACGTACTTCGGTATTAAAAACCACGTCGCCATATTCAGTTTCTAAATCTTTCAGGAATTCTTTAAATTCACGGTGATTTAACGCGCGCGACTTTATAAAATTGATTAGTTTAATTATTGGTACTGTGACATTTGGCAAACTCAATCTTTTCGCACACAAATTTTCCTGGTGAATTATGCAGTGGTTAACGAATATTTCCCTTCCTGTGACCTTCTTAATGTCTTGAAATAGCCTTCCCGATACTCCTACCTCCATGCTTGACATTGCTCGTGCTCCATCTGTCGATATACCAATAATCTTTTCTAATGAAATTGAAAAATTTTCCAACACAGACTTTAGTTCATCGTACAGGTCTTTGCCGGTTGTAGTCCCTTGCATTGGAATCAGTGAACACAATTCTTCGGTAATATTAAATTTGGTGTCAATACCACGTAAAAATATAGCCAGTTGTGCTGTATCGCTAATATCGCAACTCTCATCAAGTGCCAAAGAACAGTATTCGAATTTTGCAATGCGTTCACGAAGCGTTGTTGCTATGTTCTCGGACAAGTCTTCAATTCTCCTTGCAATGGTGAATCTTGATAAACTAATGTTTGAAATAATATTTATTTTATCAGGAAATGCTATTTCTGCAACAGCAGTCAGACATTCTTTTATCATCTCTCCATCCGCAAAGGGTTTCATTTTTTTTGCCAGTATTTGACTGACAACAAAACTAGCCTTTACTGCCGTATTTGATAAAATAGCTTGATTTTTAAAAATAGCCTGTTGTTTTCCCAAGTTTTTCTCCATTTTATTAAACTTATCTATCCGGAGTTGTCCTGTTAAGTTTTTATATTGTTGTTCATGTTTTGTATCGTAATGCCTTTTTATGTTATATTCTTTTAATGTTGACACAGTCTCTGAGCATATTAAGAATACAGCTTTATCTTCAATGAAAGTGAAACAATAATCAAATTTCCACTTTTCTTGGGAATGCCTGTGCTCATCCACAATCTTCCGTTTTTTTGTTTGCTTTTCCAACATGCTATTATGGATTAAAGATTTGAAAGTTAAAAAAATTTGTAGGAAAACTTAATTTTGAATAAAAAAACTCTAATATTACCTTTTTCACAATAATATTGCACTCACGCCTTTCAAGAAACACAAGAATTGCTAAAATTGCTAGTTAACAGCTTACCAGTCTGATTGATTGTGTGACAGAAGCAAACACAAACAAGCACAGACGCGGCGCGTTTGTATTGCATGTTTGAACAACTCGCCGACAAGTGAGTAACTCATCACAAAAAATTGTTTCGGTTTAGTATGTACAGTACTACCATTTTATTATAAATAATTTTATAACAATATATTGATGGGAGAAAGTCGATAAAATAAATTCATTTTTAAAAATGCTTGGCGGGCCGCATAAACATGTTTAACGGACCGCAAGCGGCCCGCGGGCCGCGTGTTGCTCATTCCTGATCTATCTAAATCTATGTTTGGTCCCAAGCTATAATGGGGGACTACCTAGATAAGTCCACACCAACCGAGAGAGAGAGAGTGTACATAATTACTGTATATCTCAGTCAAATGTCTCTGATGAGCCAATGTTTGGGTCGAATCGAAGTTAAATCAGTATCCAGTGCGAGTCTGCTATGTTTCACTTAGTATAGGGTGAGACGGAAGTAGTCCAAGTCATTTCTAAACCCATTTTCAATATGGCGGGCCGAGCTGTAAGTTATGGCTTCTAAGAATGGCTGCACTAAGTATGTCGGCTTCTAAAGATGTCTGCCTCAATCGTCAAATGTGCTCTCATTATATCTGTCTTTACTGTGGGAATCTGATCATGTGACTGTTTGTTTGGTAGCGATGACACGATTGTTTGTCAGCAATTGTTTATAGATTTCCTCCCTAGACTAACAAGGAGAGCCTACGGCTTTGGGGTAACGGATTTTGATGATCTTTGGTTTAGAGGTAGTACACCATGTGAGTGTACTACCTGTAAAATACTAAAGTGCAATACTCAAATATAATCAAGAAAATCGAACTTAAAGTTTTTTAGCACTTTATATATAAATTATACGTACTTTTATTTGAGCGTCCTGTGGCAGAGTGGTAACGAGTCCGATTCATAAGCTTGAGTTCTCGGGTTCGATTCTCGCGTATAATTTTTTTTTTAAATTCATAAATACAGTACTTATAATGTATTTATTTATTTACTCGTTCATTTCTTATTACTTATTTATTTTAATTTAATTTCTACTATTCCAAGTCTAATATTTTTATACTTTTGTTGACAATAACTGCGCATTCTTGACACCTATGTGTCAACTTTCCCATCTAATTGTTATCACTAACGGTGACCGATCTAATTCTCACTAGGAGCGTTTTTCTATCAGAGTTCTTTTTCACTCACTCTTTAACAGTTCGTTTCTAAATTTCGACACGAATAGACGTATTTGTGTAGTAAAACTTATTTTGAAAAATTATTTTATAATTAAAAAATGTCGTCAAGAGAAGCAAGTTCTTCATGTTGTGACGAAAAAACTGTTGATGATAACTCTTTATACAGTGATGTATCAAAGCAGCATAGTGAAGTAAAATACTAAAGTGCAAAACTCAAATATAACCAAGAAAAACGAATATAATTTATTGAAGCAATATTATATAATTACATAGCATTGTCAGATGTACATGATCGTGAATGATACTTATGATAAAAACATTCAAAACAAAAATTCTGTCTACACCAAGAACAACAAATAAATGCTGCTTTTTTACAATTGCAAGGTATGTTTAAACGAGAACTTGTTTAACTCCTTAAGGACATAGACATTTTTGAGATTAATTTATTTAAACGTAAAAAATACTTAAAAACTGAAAAAAAACGAAAGAAATGCGTTAATTTTGAAGAAAAATCTTCAAATTTTATTTTCCTTTGTCTCGCCTTTCTGTGAAATTTAACACCGATGAGTCATTGTTTACACATCTGGATGACCTTGAACACAGCTGGAGTTGGATTTCCCGGGACATTCTCATAGACGTCTCGGGATGACAAGGGTTTAAAGTAGGGTGACTACTAGCTAGGCCTATATTTTTAAATATTTTTAAAAAATTGAAATTTTAATTGCGATTTCCGACCCCATCTAATTAATTAAATTTATATATAATAAAATATATTAATTAAAAAAATTAAAAAACTATCGGAGGTCGTTTTTGACATCAGAAACTAGCTTTAAATAACTTTAAGGAAAGAAAATCCGTGCGCTAGAACTTTAGAACGATGAATTAATTTGATAAAAAATCCCATTAAAAAACAATTAAGCCTTAATCGAGCCTTTTCAAAGGCTCATTAAAATCGCGATAAATTTTTTTAGCGCAGGAAAAAAATTTTGAAAAAATTTGGAGACAAAAAACATTCCAAAAATAAAAAAAAAAACATTTAAGGACCGCGTTTTATGTAACGCTATGTAACTTGCCCGAGTTTTCTCGGGTTATGGGCTTAAGTTATATAATATATTAAAATAAATAAATAATAAGAAATGAATGAGTAAATAAATAAATACATTATAAGTATTTATGAATTAAAAAAAAATTATACGCGAGAATCGAACCCGAGAACTCAAGCTTATGAATCGGACTCGTTACCACTCTGCCACAGGACACTCAAATAGAAGTACGTATAATTTATATATAAAGTGCTAAAAAACTTTAAGTTCGATTTTCTTGATTATATTTGAGTATTGCACTTTAGTATTTTACAGGTAGTACACTCACATGGTGTACTACTTCTACACCAAAGATTGTCAAAATCCGTTACCCCAAAGCCGTAGGCTCTCCTTGTAAGTCAATTATCAACTTTCTCACAATTAACAGTTGACTGTTATAACATATTTTTGTTATTTTTCATGGGTCAATGCAAAGGGGAAAGGACTTGTTGACAGTTACGTTAATATTTAATATTTTCCCATTCTTACTCCATGGGAACCGGATGGAAAAAGAGGAAAGTTTCTAACGTGTCTCGTTTTCTTAAAAACACATAAAAATGGCCTCTGGATCTTCACAATACTTGTAAAAATTTATCTAGATCTTAATAAAATATATGATACATATATGCATATGAGCAATGTCACTCTTCATCCCAGATCCATATGACATTGATTTTTCACAGATCATCATAAAAGTAGTTAAGATACGCATATGCTACTACTTAAACCTGACTGTGAAAATATATAACAAATCCTCATGATATAAGTTTATATGAGCAATTTTGGTTTTCAAATCAACAACAGATTACAAAATTTTTTCATGAATATATTGAAATACTAAAAAAGCTTCTTACTAGATCTATGGCCATTTGTTAATGGATGGCTATCTTCACTAGATAAACTGGAAGTAGATGTGAGAGATCCGCCTGGCAGTAGTAATGGACGAGGAGGTAGACTAGGAGCACCGCAAGACCTGACAGTTTCTATACAACTTTTATGTACACCTATGCCACAAACTGTAAAAAAATCTAATTAGAAGAATGAAAAACAAAATTTATACAGTAAATATATAAGAAAATAAAAATATACAACTCCTTAACAAATATAATTTTTAAATATTACAAACTCTACTATAAACTAATAAAAATTTTTATCATTTTTTCACGTTAAAAAAATTTAATTACTAATTTCATTGATTGTCTAAACAATTTTGCAGTTAGTTTTAAGATTGCAAGATGATAAAAGTCATTTTTAAAATTAATTTTTAATCATAAATAATGTTGAGACTTATTAAAAATTATAAAAACAAAAACAAAATTACAAATCTCAAACCAAAAACTTCAGCTCAGCTTACAATGTCTAAATGACATACCGGGTACTTGATATAAATAAACTAAACATAACTCAGCTGATTGCAGAGACACAGTTTACGTTAAATGACGTTTATCAACAGAATGGCCTATAGACCTTGGCTGGCTAAACCAAGGTTTAAAATGTGTTGCAAAGACGATGATCGTCTATTTCTGACCGTTCTCTAAATGAACTTTGGCAAAACATTGGCTCTTACTTACTTTGCTATTACTCCCCTGTTTTAGGAGTCATTGGGCCAATCGGGTTATTCGTTTGTGACGTCAGAAATGGTCGCCAGCTATATTCCGAAAGCTTCCAGAAATAAAATCTTAAGGCCGTCAAAACCATTGTTCGGAAATTAATGGCAATCCTTTTCCATTTCGATATTTAATTTTGTCGCCAATATGGTTTAAAATATGAACAAATCCATATTTAGAAAATTTATACCAAATTCGAAACTCATCTTTGGAATAGATTTTTAAGGAATTATTTCGACATCTTATTACTGTCAAAATGAATACAGTAGAGCATCGTTTATCCAAATCAATTGGGGACTGGGGTTGTTCGGATAACTTATTTTTTGGATAACCAATTATGTACAAAAAAATATATTAATTTATCCCGTGTTGAAAATTTTCTCCATTGCGTGTCGCTTCGCATTGAATTTTCGTCAATGTTAAGCCTAACGAACACTATTGTATCATTAAAAATTATTTTTTTATTTTGTACAAACAAAATAAATATATTGAAAAATATAAAAACAATAAAAAATTAATACTTCAGAAGTTAATTTAGTATCAAAAACGTAAAATATTTGAGTAACCGAAGACATAGCCAAAGAATACAGCGCCACAGCACTGGTAAAAATTTAAATTTGTCAACTGGAATTCCTTTGGATAACCGACCTTCGGATAAACGACGCTCTACTGTAATTTTAAATATTTCATTATTAATATTACATTTTTTTATATCTATAAACAGATTTCTGTAATTATTAAAATTGCCTTGTTTGTTTAACAGTACAATGACTTCGAAATGCATTAACATTTTATAATCGACACGATACTCGAATTGTAAATAAATGCATCTGATTTAATTAAATTAATTGAAGTTTTAAGTCTTCACCATTTGAAAATTGAAATTGGAACATTTAAAACAAATTTAAAGTATTTAATTTTGTTGTTTTTGCTCCAAGCAATTAATTAATGAATAATTTTGTCGATTCATACCATTTACAACATTTATCAAAGGAATGATATTTGTTTTTATCTAAACTTTTCCACGAACAAAGCTACCACTCAAATTGAAAAGACCTCTAAACCTGCTGTCGAGTGAGTCTAGAAAATAGGTCAAATAACTTGTTTCTAATCGCTGTCTACATTGTGGCAAGCAAAAAAAACGCCGTCTCTGCAATGAAATTTTCTGAACAGTTGTCTACCCGATCTGTAAACTGTTGTCGGTCTCTAAACATTATCTCTGCAATCAGCTGACTAAATTTAACAACTAATGAAACTCACTCAACAAGTAATAGACTACACAACTACACCTTAAGTTGCCGAGAAAAAATTTATTTAAATGTAACTAATGTTTTTGACCTATTCGATGGGCCATCCTCAGGTTAATTGATAAAAAACAACGGTGTTCTAAAAATAGAATATATAAATTCAAATAAAAAAAAAAACAACGGAACAAATTCAAATATAAAATTAACAGAAGAATTATAACTATATATATAAATGTGAAATAAAGTAACAATCAGATATAATATTATATAATTTCATGATATTATATAATTATAATCATTATATAATTTCGACTGCAAAAAGTACAAAATGATTTTGAAAAGAGCTCCAAACCTCTATAAGATATTAAGGAATGACAAGGACAGCATTAATAAACAAGGAAAAGCAAAAGTGTAAAGGATTCGTTATGAAAACATGGAATTAGGAATAAAAAAAAACTATATTGGTGTTACTACAAGAAATTTGGGAATCAGGCTGAAGGAGCACAAATATAGTGTCAATAAGGGATCCAATGCCACAGTATTATCTCAAATGGTGCAGGCTGAAGGCTCCATAGTAAAATGGGAGGAAGCAGATATTGTTAAGTCCATGCACTTCCCGACTTTAGCAATGTGCACAGAAAAGATTGAAATATATAAGGGCAAGCTACAAGATATGTGCATTAATGCAAGGGATGCAGAAGAGCTACCAACTACCTTAAAATACTTTTTAACTAAGTACTTCCAGTACTTAGTTAAAAAATATTTTAAGAACTCCTAACTTATGCCTTAATTTTTTACATTTTTGGTATTTTATATATGTATATATATATTTTGTTATAATTCTTCTGTTAATTTTGTATTTGAATTTGTTCCGTTGTTTTTTGTATTTGAATTTATATACAGTAGAGCATCGATTATCCAAAATAATTTGGGACTGGGGTTATTTGGATAATTGATTTTTCAGATAACCGATTATGTATGAAAAAATATATTAACCTATCCCATCAAATCCTGGCGTGTCTTTAAGGACCCTCTCATGGTCACACCAATGCTACCAGCTAAAACACGCACACCAACAAAAATAATATTGAAGTAGACCAAGATATAGTCAAATATTGCAGCGCCACAGCACTAACGGAAATTTAAATTTGCCAACTGGAACGCTTTCAGTTAAGCGATGTTTCGGTTGATCAATATTCAGATAATCATTGCTCTACTGCATTCTATTTTTAGAACACCATTATTTTTTCTCAATTAACCTGAGGATGGCCTATCAAATAGGTCAAAAGAATTAGTTACATTTAAATAAATTTTTTCTCAGCAACTTAAGATATAGTTGTGTAGTCATACTAAATTTATTTGATCATCCTAATACAGTGGTTCCCAATTAGTGGTACGCGTACCCCTGGGGGTACGCAAAATTGCATGAAGGGGTACGTGCGGCAATCTAAAATCGGTCGATTTAAAATTTAAATGCAAGAGATGAAGCAATCAAAAAAATAATGGGTGACCATCAAAAATTCGACCATTTACAACATGATGTCAAATGCACAAATTCATTTATTTATAACTAGAAATATTCTTGAAATTTCATTAAAAAATGCATTTGTGACAATACCTAAACAAACAAACTCCCATTTATTTTAAGTTTATATATGTTTGCAGTTTCTGTTTAATGCGACAAAATCATTGTGGTGCAACGTCGCAATGCATCGTGTGGCATGGCTGTAAAGTTTTTTATTACAAAAATACATAAACTGAGTTAATTAGTCCCCCTGTCTTTCAGATGGAATGATGGCTGTTAGGATGCCGAAAGGCTGATGATGAGGAGTCAGGCAATACTGTATGGTCACCTGTTAATGATGTATCACCCTCTAACAATACTCAGGCACAAAAAAAGAAGAAACCTTGATAATAAAGAGCAGTCTCTCAAAAAAAGGAAATATGGAAATATGATGATAGTTATATTCAGTTTGGTTTTACATGGTATGGAGACCCTGATTCCCCATTGCCACAGTGTGTCTTTTGTGGAGAAACGCTATCAAATCATTCGTTAAAACCATCTTTACTGCGTCACCATTTGGAAACCAAACATGCTAATTTTAAACATCAATCTTTGTCATTCTTTCAACATAAATTAAAAGATCTCAAACAAAGGCAAAAATCTATTGAGACACTCTCCTTGAACACGAATGTCAACGCTCTGCAAGCCTCTTTTAAAGTTAGTTACTTAATTGCCAAGCAAGCAAAACCACACACTATTGAGGAGAACCTTATACTGCCTGCAGCAAAAGAGATAGTGAAATGTATGTTCGGAGAAAAAATGGCACGAGAACTTGATGTTATTCCCCTGTCGAATAACACTGTCTCTCGTCGTATTGCAGACATGTCAGATAATCTGAAGAGTGATCAAATTTAAAGCATTTTACAAAGTGATTTCTTTGCCATACAACTTGATGAGTCCACAGACATATCAAAGTTGGCTCAACTTTTAGCATACGTTCATTCCAGAAAGTTTCACGAAGAGTTCCTATTTTGTCGTGCCCTTCCGATTCGCACCACCGGGGAGGATATATTTCGCATTGTCGATGGATTTATAGACAAAAACAAAATGGATTGGTCAAAATGTGTGGGCATATGCACTGATGGTGCCAGAGACTGGTAGTTTTTCAGGACTTGTGAAGCAGATACAAGATAAAGCTCCAGAAGCAAAATGGACCACTGTGGAATTCATCGAGAGGCACCTGTTTGTAAAAAAATTCCAACCAGCTTAGACATCATTCTTAAAAATGATGTAAAGATTGTCAACTTAATCAAGGCCCATTCCACAAACTCAAGAATTTTCGCAGCCATTTGTAAAGATCTTGACAGTGAGCACAAGACTCTGCTGTTACATACTGAAGTGCGCTGGCTGTCCAGAGGAAGAGTTGTTTCGAGATTATTTGAGTTGAGACATGAAATTGAGTTATTTTTGGTTGAGTATAAATATGATGAGTACAAACAGATGCTGACTGACCCTTTGTGGCTGCAAAAATTAGCTTACTTGTCAGATATTTTCACAAAGTTGAATGAGTTGAATTTGGGCCTTCAAGGCCAGGATATAACCATATTCACTATGCAGGAGAAAGTTGAGTCAACTATCAAAAAAATATCCCTCTGGACATATTTGATAGACAAATGTAAATATGACCAGTTTCCGAATCTGAAACTTTTTTTGGAAACAACTTCTTTGTCATTAAATGAAGATGTAAAATCAGTCATAAAATGCCACTTGCAAAATTTGTCGGCAGAGTTACGCAGTTATTTCACAGAAATATCGCCGGAATGGAACTGGGTAAATAATCCTTTTGCAAATAACTCCACCGACCACCTTCCCATCTCTGACCAAGAGGAATTAATAGACATTTCATGCAACAACAAACTCAAGTGTTGTTTTGCACAGCAATCACTGGGTAATTTTTGGGCTGACCTAAAAGACATTTATCTTGTCAGCAAAGCGGCAATAAAATATTTACTACTATTTTGCACAACATACCTCTGCAAGAGCGGATTTTCGGCCATGACAAATATGAAAACTAAACATAGTCACCAACTTGAATTTGAAGATGACTCGAGACTGAAGTTGACCAAAAAGCAACCAGATTTTACAAAGTTGTGCAAAGAAAATCGTGCACATTTGTCATATTAAAATAAAATAAAATAACCTTATGTTATTTTCATTTTTATTAGAATTGTATTTTAAAGGTAATAAATGTAAAAAAAAAACTTATTCTCTTTATCACTAGCTGTCTACCCACAGCTTCGCCCGCATTATATCGAATTTTCTCACAGTAAAATGTAGCCTATGTCCATCTCCAACATGTAAGCTATCTCTGTGCCAAATTTTATTAAAACTTGTTCAGTGGCTTAGACGTGAAAAGGTAACAGACAGACAAACAGAATTACCTTCGCATTTATAATGTTAGTATGGATTAATATGAATTTCTGCTATAAGGGTTACGCGAGTTTGAACTCTTTCTTGAAGTGGTACGCAGGAAAAACTAATTGGAAACCACTGTCCTAACATATTTGTTTATAATTGTCTTTTGATCTTAAATTATGTACAGTATTGGTATATCCAGTACATAAAAACAAATTTAAATTTTTCTAAATTATGAATCCATTAATGTTTTTGTAAAATTCAATACAACATGACCTCAAGTTTAATTAGGTCTATGTAAATTAATGGCAGCAATGCAAATTGTGTTAAAACATTCAAGATATAATAAATCAATTTAGAACAGAAATAAAAAGAAAAATTATACAAATAAATTATAAATAAAATATCTATAGTAATACCATGTAATTATTTGAATTTCTAATATACAGGGTTCCTACTCAAATTTTTGTTTTGAATTCCCTGACTTTCCCTGATTTTCCCTGACCAACTTTGTCCAAATTCCCTGACCCTCACATTTTTTAGTGTGGAATATCGACATAATAAAACAGCATTTACTGTTAACATTGAGTACATTTAGCCCTCTTTTTGCACAGTTGATATGCTTCAAAGACTGCCACATTAAAAAAATACAGTACATACATCCTGTAGAAAAATGTTTGATAGAATCCACAATTTCAATGTAATGAAAAAATAAGCAATTTACAAACAAAACACAAGCTTTTTATTTTATCATCATTTATCATTATTATTTGTATGTAAATCTAGTAAATACAAGGTAACATAAAATCAACAAAAATTATTCTTTGATAAACAAATAGTACTGTACTGTGCTTAAAATGAACTCTTGATTTAGAAACACATAATTTTAAAATCAATCTTTCAACAAAAAGAGTAACTTTTTTTTAACCTTTTTACATTACCATCTGTTGCATATCTTAAAAACAGTTATTGCAAATATAATGTTTAAACATGCATTATTATATGGATAGGATAGATAGGGTGTGACCCATATCCTATTTCTGAGATCAAAGAATGTTTTGATGAGAAGAAATAAAACTCATATTTAATCACTGAGCCTTCTACTGCCCCCATGAAAGCCTCCAGTGCCCGCAAAGGGGCGTTATCACCCACTTTGAGAAAGGATGATCTAGACCAGTGTTTCTCAACCCAAAACTCATCGCAGACCGGAAAATATCTGCTTTTTTTAAGTGGACCAGTGACAATATTATTTTTAATTGAAAAAAATTCTCTGTTGTAAAAAGAACTGCAAACTACATTGAGCAATAAATATTTGTTATTTTATTTACCAGTACATTAGTATACAAATCAATGTGATCGCTGCTTTTCTTTTTTGCTAGTAAGATCATCAATTCTTGGAGTTAAGGCGGTAACTGCAAGGCGTGAGGCAGAACTAATACTATAATGATTTTGTTGTTTCAATTTTATCATTACCATTGCTGAAAACATTGATTCACATAAGTACGTTGTTGAAAAAGGTAGTAACATCCTAACTGCCTTTTTATGTAAAACTGGATATTCAGATTTAACTTTAATCCAAAACTGTGTTATGGGCATTGATTCAAACAATGTTTTAAATCCCAAGTCTGAACTTAATTTGATTAGTTTTTCGTATTCAAAGTCGTTCAATCTATTAGTTTGCTATCAATAAACGGATTAATAATCCACATATTTCCTATTTGAGAACAACGCATGGAAGGTACAGTATATATTTTTAAAGTTTTCGCGGACTGGTCAGATTAGAGTTGCGGACCGGCGGTTGAGAAACACGGGTCTAGACTATTTCTCAAGTTTCTATAAAAAATTTCTGTTCATTCCTTTTTTTCTCTAATAATTAAATTATTTTACGTTTTTCTATTTTAGTTCCGGACAATTCCGGAACCTCACACTTGTATTCCTATGAAGTCATAGTATTACGAAAATTGGGATTCTTAAAACTTATAAAATAAAATAAATACAGAAATAAACAACAAACGAAATTACAATTATACGTTATTAAAATATAGAAGTTCAGCGCAGAGAATCGTAACTACAAATCTCTTTCTTTTGCAACATAACTATAAAAATTGTTTTGGTGTTGTTTCGCACAAAAAATAATCAAATTTATTTTAATTTTTTAGTAATGTAATTATTTTTTTTTAAATTTACAGCTTTTTAATTTTTAAATTTTAATTATAAGCAAGTTAACATTGGTTAAACTATCGGATTACCTGTTGATTTTCGAAAATATAACTACAGAATATTTATTACAAGCATGATCAATCTTGCCAGTTTTTAAGCCCTAAATTTGCCAAAATCAGTGATATTTGTTACCCAATATCATTTCAGTTAACTAATTATTAAACTATGTATCGAAGTTGCGGAAAAAAACGGAAGAGAGAGGGAAAATATGCTTGCAGTACAGTACATTCAAGGAAAATCGTAACAACAAATATAAAAAGCTTGTGCCAACAACAAGTCAGCGCCAGTATTTTACTGTAAACGTCGGGTAACTATTTATAATTTTTTATGTTTTAAACTGAAAAACGATTAAATTACAGATTTTTACTGATCTGTTTAGCTATTTTGAAGTGAACATTCTAATAAATTACGATTTCAACTTTTAAAAGTTTGCAAACAAATTTTTAATTAGTTATTTTTTATTCTAATAAACAATTTCATTTTTTTATAATCGCTGAATTACTAAAATTAAAAATTAAACACTATTACATAAAAGTAGTTTATCCTGTTATTAATTAACTCCCTTGCTACCCACTAATTTTTAATATTAATGTAATTAAACATAAAAAATATTTAAAACTGGGAAAAAAACGAAAGAAATGCGTTAATTTTGAAGAAAAAGCTTCAAACTTTATTTTCCATTGTCTCGCCTTTCTGTGAAATCTGACACCGATGAGTCATTGTGTTTACAGCTGGATGACCTGGAGAACAGCTGGTGTTGGGATTTCCCGGGACATTCTCATAGAAGTCTCGGGAGGAGAAGGGTTTAAAGTAGAGTGAATACTAGCTGGCCGTATATTTTTAAATATTTTTCAAAAATTACGTTTTTTTATTGCGATTTCCGACCCCCCGACTTAATTAAACGTATATATAATAAAATATATTAATTTAAAAAAATTAAAAAACTATTGGAGGTCGTTTTTGACATCAGAAACTAGCTTTAAATAACTTTATCGAAGTAAAATCTGTGCACTACTACTTTAGAACGATGAATGAAATTTGATAAAAAAACTCCCATTAAAAAACAATTAAGAGTTAATCGTGCGTCATTAAAGGTATATTAAAATCGCGATAAAATATTTTCGCGCGGGAAAAAATTTTTGAAAAAATTTGGAGACTTAAAAAACATCCAAAAAAACAAAAAATTTTTCGGAGGGCCCAAATGCCCAAGTTTTATATAACGCTGTGGAACTTTCCCGAGTTATCTCGGGTTTTAAAGATTGCAGCATTACTTCTTGCCGCCTGAGTATGGCTATGATTGGTCATCTATATTCAGCAAACGAAATCAACAACGCAGTTAAGGAGACAAATTCCCTGACTTTTTGACAATTTTTGACAAATTCCCTGACTTTCCCTGACTTTTTCAAAAATAATGAAAATCCCTGACTTTCCCTGACTTTCCAGGTGCGTAGGAACCCTGAATATAAGAAATTTCAAATCTGTAAAATGAGTACTTTTTACATTAAAAATATGTTGAATATAGATATTTCAGTATTTGTACGATATACAAATAATAGTTTTCAAGTTACATAAAACAATTATTATTTACCTTAAAAAATTTTATTCATATAAGTAAAAGAGAAATTAAAAATATACCTGAACAGTGATATCCTTGATAAAAAATTCCCCTGAAAAAATAAATCACTGTTAATCCAAAAAAATCTAATGTCACCATTTTGTTTTAGTAAAAATATAATTAACATTTATTTTATGTTCAATAAAAAATATGTGTAATCAACAGTACCTCTAATTTTTTTACAGTTGCATGAAACAAACATTGCTCTGAGCAGGAAATTTTTGAAAATGAAAGAAAGATGCTTGGTATTTTAATTTTATCATCACTAGATTCATCAACTGTTTTCACCTGATTGGTATAATGGCTGGAACATTACTGAATGTACTACTTGTAATATGTCCTGTCTTTGTTCTCCCATTTATAGGTTGTCTGCCTCACAAAGGTCATTTATATTATCTGGTTTTTAATATTTTACAAATTGAAGATTGTTTATTTTATAAACTTTATACATTTTTTAAAAATATATTTTATATCACTGCACCTCATACAGGTGTCTATTTTATTGTATTTTATCATTATATAAAATCATTATACTTTTTATACAGGTATACCTTGAGTTATGTCGTTTGTCAAAAAATATATGGAAAATAAAAATCAAGTTTGTCATTTTATTCAACTTTATGTCTGTCTGCCACAAATATTGAAGTCGTAATATCACTAGAAAAGCGTTAAAGCATATAAAATCATATTAAAATATGTACATTTACAGTAAATGTTAATATAATCATCATAAATCCTAAAGAACAAAACATGAAAACATCTGTATTTCTGTGTTTTCATCTTATTTAGTGATCTTTAAGTGCTCAATATTGGTGTTTTCTATGGTAGCTCCAATATCTACTGTTTGATGTCGTTGTCAGTGCCACTCGATATTTGTAAATTTAATATAAATTAGTTTTACATTCTACTGTTGCAAGATAATTTTAATAACTATTTATTTAACCTTACAAAATCATCTTATTTTATAATGTCTTAGAGCAAACCCTACTATGCTAGAAATTAGTGAGAAAGGTTTTGTGCTGATAATCTTAGAGCAAACCACATTCACAAATAAAGAGTCTGCGATGTACTGTAAACATGCACATTTACTGTACGTACATAAATTCGTAAATTTAGATTACTTTTTCTGTACTATATTAAAAACTAAAATTTATTTGCTTTTAAACTTAAAATTGATTCTTATTAACCATATATTATTAAAAATGCATTTATAAATAAAATACAGAACTGAGAACAGTTATTTGTGGTTTAGCCTAGTGACAAGTAAATTCGACTTACATCGTTTTTTGACTTAAGTAGACTCTCCTGGAACCAATTACTGATGTAAGGTGAGGTATACATTTATGTTTTTTTTTTTTTTTTTTTTGCATTATGGTGAATTTCATTACTGCAGCTTTTAAATTATCTTCTTAGATGTATACCTGTTTGTAATTTAATAGGGTTTCTTTTGTATTATTTTTCTTGGGGTTGGTTATTATAAGTTAGAAATAACTTTACCTTTTGTATTAAACATAAACAATTATTAGCAAAATAACATTACGACTTGCATTACAAACAGGTTTCTGTATGTATGTGTGCTAAACTTTATGTACTTAACCATTAAAAACACACTTGCAAAATTTTTAAAATAACATTTATAACAAAACTGACAGTTAGTTATAGAGCATGCTGCATGAAAACAAAATTCACATACATGGCTTCTGCACCAAGTTGTACAGTTGAGGTGTATTTACACACCTGTGCAACTTACAGGAAACATTTGTAACATATAAGTAAGTTACATAATAACAGAAAACAAACAATAAAAAAATTGAAAATGCTATTCTTAACATTTAATACATTTAAAATGGTATTAAATATTAAGAATAGCATCTTCAACTTTTTTATTGTTTGTTTTCCATTGTTATGTAACTCGCTTATTAATTTAATTTAATCTTATTTAATTAATTTAATTGCAACAAATTTTGGTTTTCAAATAATATCCTTTTTACAATTTTACAAATTAAAAATGATATAATATATAAAATCATCTAAAGTTAGAATGCTTCAAAAAATAATCTTAAAAAATCATCAATTGTTTACTTCATTAATTATTCATAAATAAATAACTTACAGTACAACATAATGTAACTCAACATTTTAATCATAAAAAAACCAACATTTTAATAATCTATCTAACATATATACAAGGGTAATTCTAAAAGAAAAGAGCGTTTTAATCTGACGAGCTGCACATTTCTCCCACCACCACGTCATGGACCTTCCCATTTTTTTTGCTCCAGTCTAACACTAACAGCGAGCTACAACAAACTTGTTTAATGTTTATAGTGTAACTTTGAAATGTGTGACAAAATTAAAGATCCCACCAAGTCTCAGGTGAGGTTCGCAGTGTAATACACTTTTTGAATGTGAAAAAAGTTTGCCTTGTCGAAATTTACAGACAGATAACAGAGGTATAATATAATGTAATGTATGAAACTTCAGTTTGAAAATGGTGCATCATGTTTAACGGCGGGCGAATGAATATTCATGATGAAGAATGCTCGGGTGACTGAAATTCAACAGCCCAAGGTGACTGAAATTCAACAGGATAGACGTTTCACTATAGATGGACTCAGTTTGTTCTTTCCTGAAATTTCAAGAACAGTTCTTTATGGCATTGTTAGTGATGATTTGGGCTACAGAAAAGTGTGTGCCAGGTCGGTTCCTTGACTTTTGACAGATGAACACAAACAAAACCGGATGGGAGCTGCATTGACTTTTCTCAGTCAGTACAACAAGGATGGCGAGGAGTTTTTGAACCACATTGTTACTGGTGATAAAACCTGGATTTCACATAAAACTCCAGAAACAAAGTGCCAGCAATGGAATGGCATCATTCCAGATCCCCAACAAGACCAAAGAAACCAAAACAAATTATGAGCACCAAAAAGGTTATGGATACAGTGTTTTGGGATCAAAAGGGTGTCCTACTCGTCGACTACATGTCTAGCCATGTATATGCATACATAAATGCAGCAGCCTATTGTCAGACCCTTCACCGACTACATCATGCCATTCAAAACAAATGGCAGGGATTGTTGTCCAGAGGAATTATGCTTCTTCAGGATAATGCACATCTCCATGCTGCTGCATTGACAAAGAACTTGTTTCAGCAGTTTAAGTGGAAAATTTTTGAACATCCTCCTTATAGCCATGACTTGGCTCTGAGTGATTACCATCTTTCCCAAAATTAAAAAATTTTTTGGCCAAGAATCACTATGGAAGTGACAATGAACTGAAAGAGGCCATTAATGACTGGTTCAAGAACTTGGCGGTAATTGAGTGTGCAGAAGACATAGAAAAGCTGGTGATACACTATGACAAATGTTTAAATTTGTATGGCGACTACATAGAAAAACAGCTAAGGTATCACATGTGTTGTAAAATAACTTTTGTTTCATTATCTTAAATAAAAATATCTAGAGAAACAAACATTCTTTATTTTTAGAATGATCTTCATATCAACAACAAAATCTCTCAACTTTATGTTTGTTAGTTTCAATAAATTGATTTAAGCTGTACTTTATAAAATTTGTACAATCTATATTATAATTCTGTTATGTAATTTACTGATTAATTAACAGACATTGAGGTTTTGAATTAACTTACAAAGAAAATCTCTTAGATAGAAATAACTAATTTCTTTCACTCATTGTCACTAGTGCAATATGTGTCATGTACAGGATGTCCAAAAAGTTACTGTGCAGTGAGAAATTTGTAATAGCATTAAAGTTATACAAATGGCATTGCATACAAGACTTGTAAGTTGTACATCCTGTGTTTCCACTTTGCAGTAGATGTCGTTACTGCTTGCTCACAGATGTTCTGGTTTTAGAACAAAAGTTTTTGAAAGACTTCTTTGCTGATTGCAGTCTCTGAACCTCACTCTCCTGCATTGAATTCTGGGACCTATGCAGAACATTTCTGGCATTTGCTATATGAGAAACTGCAATATTGTATGTATGTAAAACTTCACTTCTATTAAAACTTTATCTAAACCTTTTCCATTGCGCAGTAAATTTTGGACACCTTATACTATACATTTGTGCACTATTCAAATTTTAGTATATAAAGTTGAAACTCTAGGAAGGAATCTTTATGTATATATTCAAAAAATCAAAAGAAAACTTAAGTTGCTGGTGGTGAAAGTGATGAAAGATAACACTCTACCAAACATCTTAAAAATTAATGAAACATCAATTCCTAATTAATGCACTTCATTTAAATAAAAAGAGTCACTACATCTTTCTCATTTTCTATTCCAGTAAGTTTCATATATACCCCCAGGCTACAAATATAACCATGTGAAAATATTTCACTTTGATTAAATTTTCTGAAACCCATACTAATGATAAGTTTAACAAAAAGAAGCAAGTCAACTTTGTTTTTTACATCAGAATGGTTTGTTTTGTGAGCTAATTCAACAAGAAGAATCAATAATTAATACTATTAAAATAGCATAAAGCAAGAAGCACTTCTAGGCATACAAAATTTTGTAATGTACTGTACTGTACATCTTACATCATTAACTGTTTCTTACCACTTTCCATTGATAAAAAGCAATAAATTTATAAATAAAATATTAAATTCTAAATACATTTATAGATTTAAAAAAAAAAAAAGTTATTAAACCTTAATAATTTTTCACATTCAGCACAGGTAACAGGTTTATCAAATGAATGTAAAACAAACTGATGATCCGTATGACGAAGAGCTTCCGGAGAAACATTGTCTCTGTAAAATACGATAAAATGCAATTTTATTTATATCTTACAATTATAAATACCATGATTTCCTGCAAATAACCCACAAAAGTTGCTAAAAAAAACCTGCAAACTGTTTCAAAGTTACTTTAAAATACAGATAACCTACAGGTTCTTGCAAGAAATTATACATAAAAAATTTTAGGTTTCTGAAAGTAAAAACTATAACAGTTGAAATTGGATAAAGATTTATTAAGTAACGTCACTTCAATCCGAAAAAATCTTCAAGTAGACTACCTCACAGCCAATTCAGGTTATAAAACTCCTTTTATTGCTTTTTTACAGATGCATTTCAAGCCAGGTTAACTTTCTAGCTCCTCTTCAGTGAAGGACTTTAGAATTACGTATTAAAAAAAACACGAAGCTGCCATAAGACTAAAACATAATAATTCCCCTTGGTTTAACCATATCAAAAATAGCAACTGCCAAATAGATAGAAATAATATTAAAGTCCTACACTATGAAAAAGACATTTATAAACGTAAATTCAAAGAACACATAGAAATAACATTATAAATGGGACTAAAAGTACCGTATAAGTGTAATAGTACAATATAAGTGTGAAACTAAGCCATTGTAACCTATGAAGACTCTTAACGTATTATGAGAGATGTTTTTATTGTTTTGTATATATTTTCTACTCACATTGTTTTTTGTCAATTGTATAATTAAAATTTATTTTGTAGCACTGGAGAGGAGCTAGAAAGTTAACCTGGCTCAAAATGCATCTGTAAAAATGCAATAAAAGAAGTTTTATAACCTGAATTGGCTGTGAGGTAGTCTACCAGAAGTTTTTTTCGAATTGAAGAGACGTTACTTAATAAACATATAAACAGCTACCATTAGAAAATTCAGATTTGGATAAAGATATTAAAAAATGAATATCATAAGTTAAGACATTCTTTTTCATTATACAAATGAAATTTCTTTGTAATGAATTCTAAAATGTCATGTAAATAGCCAAAACAATAACAATATAGATTTATTTAAAATAGTAGTAATAATTATTAACTACATATTTTCAATATAATAAATTTTGAATAAAAATTTGTTACAAAATATTAATAATAATAATATATATAAATATCCAATGTTTAAGTATATATTCATATAAAAAGATTAATGGGAAAGCAGAGTACATTCTGCTTTCCCATAATATCCATTAGTCAGCTATATTATGAATGTTGACAGTAAATTAATAAAAATACTTATTTTAAAAACAGAAGTAAGTAGAAATACTGTGTTTTCTTGATTCTAATGTACCTTTTTTTACATTTTCAGTCTGAAAAACAGGATTGCTCATTAGAACTGGGTACAAATTCAACTTAATACAACCTTGTTCAATCTGCATGACAATTCACTTGTATCATGCATCAGTATATGCATGGTACACGTCCCTCCACTACTATGGTTTTAATTTTAATTTTGTTTTGGAATAATGAGGTGATCTTTTAAACTTTAACAAGCCATGTAAATGATGTACAGCAGATGAGTCTATAAAGCTAAGTTTAAGTAGAAAAGTAATCTGCCATGCTAAAGATACATGTATAGATATTTCAATGTGATATTAAGTATTTGGAAAATTTTATAATGGTGTATACCAACACAACCATTCTATGTTGAAACACTGATTGTAGGTAATTTTGACTGTGGTTTTGTGTTGTTAGTCAGCAGATCCTCAGTACTTGATAATGGAGTCATAAATGAACATATTTAGAAATGTGAATACATGTACCATGAAGCAGTGTGAGCACAATAATAAAACATTTTTCAAAAAAAGTGTTTATTGCTGTTTGAATATATTAACTTCCCATGACTGCAGATTTGGTCATACAGAGTGCACAATACATTCACAACCTAACTGTTTTCGGGTTTTGATGTCTCAAAAATTGGGCGAGTATGGATTCAATGATACATGCAATCGAAAAAACACATACCAAGTCACTGAAAGTAGAATAATTTATAGTTAGTGAATATTTTGTAATTATAGAATTGTGCAAATAATAATACAGTACTATATCACATATACAATTCAACCAAAGCATTAATATTTAAAAAAAATAAACAAAATAAGATAAAACTGACAGATAATACAAATAGCTGTTTTATGTATTTCTGGCACCATATTATTATTGATACTAAAATGCTTACTTCAAAGAACATTAGTATTTATATTTTTCATATTTGTTTTGTATGAACTGTAAGCTGAAATTGTCTGGATCAGGATGAAATTTCTTATTCAATTAAAGATTTGGCTTCCTAAAGCAGGCATTTTAGTATTGATAATAATACAAATTATAATATATAATAAAAGATTTTTCCAAATTTCTAAACACATTACAAATTATTGGGCCAAATTATCAGGCTATAATATGGCTATATAATTATTTAATACTAAATACTAATTATTACAATTATAATACATTAAAGTTAATTAATTATAATTATTAAATCTAGCATAAGATGACAGCATAACTGCCTATCTCTAAGACAAATTACAAATTATTTAGTATTTAATTAATTACTTAGCTGTATTATAGCCTGATAAGTGAGCAATTTGTTTGGCTTTGACTATGAAGAAATTGTTCCTCTGTGTAGACAGGGACAATAAGTTATTTTTCTACACAACATTTTTGTTATAATTTTAATATTGAAAAATGAATTGTAAAGGATAAATAAAACAGTCACTTTTATTTCTCTTATTAATCAAAGCCAAATGATTGCAGATTACAAGGGATTGCAGATTACAATGCCTCTTATTAAAAATCAAAGCCAAATGATTGCAGATTACAAGGGACTATATTAATGCTACTAATTACTAATTAAACATGAAGTAATTTGGCCTAGAGGTAGAGGCATTTCTTTATAAATTTAATAATTATATGTTTTTATATTGATAAATTTATTAATTATTCTGGCAATAGTTTGGCATTAATCTAAGAATTTGNTCCTCTTTTTAGGCTCCATAATATTATCAGTTTCTTTTTTAAATAAAAAGTTCAGAAAACACTTACAAAAATTCAGAAAACAGAAATCAACTAGCCCACAAAAAATTATTTAAATGCAAGGCCTGGATGAAATTCAAAATTTGATATTAAAACATTAACAAATATCTGATGGGACAGTTAAACTTTCACCTTTCATAAATAAACCCCGATGCAAAACTTAACAAGTGCCTGTCCAACAGTCTCGCAAATACTATAAAAAATTATTTATCAAAAAGGTAAACAAAAAGCTGGAATTAAAAAGAAGAGTTTCAAAATTTGGAGGAATATTATAGTATCCGATCGGTATTGGCTTGAGCGTCGATGTTGATGTCTCCCGTGCTCTGAAAGGTTTCGAATTGTTACCTGAAGACAAGGGAAAATCAATTAGTATTCGTTATTTTCCATCGCTTCTTTTTATGTTTGTTCAGTAAAGTGTTCGTTGTCTGATCATAAAAATCTTTTGTGAAAGTGTTCGTTATCCAATTTGTTCACTATCCAAACTGTTCATTAACCGATCAACCACTGTACATTAATAATGAAATTACTGAGTTTTCACTGTATCAGTTTATATTGATAAATTTATTAATTATTCTGGCAATAGTTTGGCATTAATCTAAGAATTTGGTTTAAAGATGTTTATATTTGTATATATACATCATGATGGGGTAAAGTGATACCAGTGAAGGCTAATATGAGACGAGCATAAGTTCACATTTGTCATTTTTGACGATGTCACAGGATTGCAAAAACATACAAGGGCGATCAGACAGATGCAGATGCAAAAAATCACATTGTGTGGCATGAACAGGCTGCTGGATCATCTGTGATAATTTTGTGATGCTGCACAACTGTTTCGCACTTAGAGATACACTTGAAACCTATGATCGTCAGATGAGCATAATAGACAACAGATGTGGTGGTAACATTGTTTCAAGGAAATACTGTCGATGTTGTTCCTGCCAAAGGGAGTACAGTACCTGCATATTTTTTTTAAAAAATGGACATTGATATAAGTAAAATGATCATACAAATTAGTGAGAAGCCAGAATTGATAGAAACTTCATTTGAACTTTATAAAATACAGAAATAAGAAAAAGAAAGGCCTGATATGTTCAAAAGGGGATATGCAATATTGCCTATGTCTTTTTTTGTTTTTAAATACTTCTGTATGTAATAAAAAAAAACAGTGCACCGCAATCTACGAGATCCATGTCGACATATATGCATCCAAAATAAAGCTGACTAGCAACATGCTCAAAAAATAGTGCTCATCTGATCATCGACTTTGCCACCATGAGTTTTCATGTCTGTGAATTGAAAAAAATAAAGTCTGTGCGTTCTCTCACTCATCTGACTTTAGCCTAAGTGCCATAGTGGGTGTAACAGGCTGTGGGTGATTAAGTCACCCAGAGTGGGTGCTATCAGTAACCAGTATGGTTACATCTAAATTAATAGTTCCGGAAGCAAAGATCAAATGGATGATTGGGTAGCATAACTGGTAACATGTCTGCACAAGTGAGAGTTGCAGGTTTGAGTCCCATTTTGAGCCAATTTTGTTCTTCCAGACCTTTAAATTAATTATTAAATATTAATTTAAATATAATTTTAAAATTTATTAAGAGATGGCACCTAACACCTACTTCTAGGAAAAATTACTTCACATTAAATTAGTAATTAGTAGCATTAATATAGCCTGATGTAATCTGGTAAATGTTTGGTTTTAATCTAAGAATCGAGTTTATAGTTGTTTATATTTGTAAATAATAAATCAGTTTGTTAGTTTTTTGACAATTCAATATTGTTATTAACTGAATGAAGTTATTAAGCAAACAAATATATTAATTGAAAAAAATGCATACATAAATACATATGCCTTCTTAACAAAAATCAATTGAGATGTGCTTTATTATAGCTAATAAAATTGAACCAAAATAAAATATTTTTGTGCACGAAAAGCACTATTAATTTAATTTAATTACACTTATTTTAAAGCTCCAATAAAGCACATCTTGGTTAATTTACATTAATACTTATCCTGCAAGTTAAAAATGCAATATATTTATAATTAAACAACAAATTTAAATATGTTCTTATAAATTAAGTTTACAATATTTAAAAAATAAAATCATGTAAAAAATATATAGAATAAATACTTATAAACATACAGAGCTTTCTGTATTGCTTCAATCCATTTATGCTTCATTTCTTCAATTTTAGCATACATAGTGTAAGCTGTCTTATTCTGTCTATGAACTAAATACCAATAGTGACTCCACTGAAAAATAAATTCATTGTTACTAAAATTATAATTATACAATGTTATATAATTAAAAAAAATATATAAATTAACTTAAAAATTTCATAGGAATGAAACAATTAAAAATGTAAAACAATGCAATAAAAAAAAATCAATAAACATAAAAAAATGTAAAAGTGATCATGTAAAAATCACAAATGAGAGTAGAAGGCAATGCAATTTTAAAAACAGAAAAAACAAAATAATATACAAGGACAGTTCAACTTCTGTCAAGGATTTCAGTACTTGGTAATGAAACCATGTATGTTACATAGTCTCAATTCATGTTTTTTCTCTAGGTACTCCCCTCTACACATTCACACATCCTCCTATTGTTTTGGCAATGATGATTCCTTGCAGAATAAAAGTATTTGACTGGTGTCGAAGCCACTCCATGACAAACTCTCTGACTTCTTTATATAAATCATTTAATTAGCCAAATTCTAGCCCGATCATTCAGGCAATCACTGGTTGTTTCTATATATACTCACCGGGCTTTAAAATGTTTATTATATATGACTTCAGAGAGTTCTTTGTGCATTGACTCTTGTTTTCCAAGTCTTCATTTAAAGGGATAAACAGGTAAAAATTGAAAAGTGACATATCCAGGCTGTATGCCAAGTGATCTTGAATTTTTAACCTCCATCATGTGCTGAGTCATGGTGAACACTAGGTCAAATGCTTCTATTCTGCAGCTATACCATCATTGATGAAATGATGGAAAAAGTGTCAATGTGTAGAAGAATACCTATAAAAACTGTACTATGTAATATACACAATTCTATCACCATTATTAAAATTCCAAACAGAAGTAGAACCATCTTTGTCTATTAGAAATTAATTATCATTATATTATAAATAATTTAAAAATTGAATAAAGAATAATCAAAAGAAAATTCTGAAACTTAAAATAATGCAAAACAAATTAGTAAAAAAAAAGTCTTTAAAAACAGGAAGATAATGTATTGGAATGTATATTGTAAGTTCTTTGAGACATCAAAAGTCATTAGACCTAAAATATTTCACTTTTTTGAGATTTTGGAGTTTTTGAGTATTTTACTTGATTTCTTTCTTTTGAGTGTACTCTTTTGTTTTTCTATGAAAAGTTTGCTTCTACTCAAACATTTCATGTCAGTGAGTGAGTCAGTCAAATCAAATAGCCTTGCTTAGTCAATCAATGAAACCAATGTAGTCTTATTATATAGGGTGTCCTAATAGAATTGCTGAATTTCATTGTGGATTTACACATTGTTTATTGAACAGATGTGGATATGTTTATTTCAGCCCCTTTCAATGCTAAGTCATTTTTGTGTGTGGAAGACAGTGCCCACCAAATGTTTCCATGGCTGCAGATATGTACTCTTTTCACAAAACTGCCAAATAATTCCACCAAAAACATGTTCTCCATCTTGAAGTCAGGAATTGTTCATTGAATGTTGGCATATATGTCAGACTAGCAGATGAGCCCGGCATTGCCCAGGCAAAAAACAACAACAAAGATTAAGATTATTAGATTATTTCGTACTTCTAATCCTTCTATTCTAGCAGCAGCGATGTCATTCTGTGGTATTAATAATAAATTCCTATTACAAATAAAAATAATAATATACTGAATTTCTCATGGTGTACCCTACTAAAATGCAGTCAAAAATGCAAAAAACTGCATCAAATAATAATATACTGAATTTATTGTTAATTTAAATAATAGCTAGAAGTGTCCCTAGTGGCCATTTTTGGCATACAGTGAAAGAAAGAAAGAAAGAATACAGTTTTTCAGCTTTATATATATATAGATTTGACAAACCCCCACAGAAAAAGTTGCAGGGTGTCAAATCACACAACCTTGATGGTCAGCATTTTGTGATATGACATAAATGGATATCATATTCAAAAAAGTATAGCCCAATCACTAACAATCAACAACATTTTCAAAGTTGCTGACCACATGAAATGCTAATGCTGTGCAATTTACATACAGCACTGTTAATGGGACATCCTGTATTAAATATTAGCCTAATCAATAAAAAAATTAAATGATAATTTTCTCATCATCCCTACTGAATTACAAAAATTACCAAATTACTGATATATTTTAAAAGATGGACTATAGAAATATATATTTATTTCTATATATTATACATAACAATTATATATTTAATTTGCAATCTAGAAATTTATGAAATAAAACATTTTTAATTACCTTATCTTTACTTGCTGATTTTGTATTTGTAACATCTTCTATTTTGTAATCATTAAGCACTAAAGCTTCTTTGTAGCTATACTGTTCACCCTATATTAATATAAATAACAATTTTAAAATGTTTTTTAAACAATTCATTCATATTATTATAAAAATTAAACATTTATAATATTTGAATTTTTTAAAAATACAAATGTTAAAATATTATCAAATTTTCCTTACATTAAAATTACATTATTACTGAGGGAGAAATATATAAATGCATATGCTTACTGTATATATATTATTATATATTTTATGTAAGTCAATACTGAATGCATCATAAACATAATTTTTAAAGAGATAAAATTGCAATTTACAAAAGAAAAATTAAATTAAAACCATAATATAAATGATATAAAATTTTAATTAATTATACACATCTATTGGAAAATCCTAACAATAAAACAAAGTTATTTTAGAAAATGGTATTATATGGGGTGATTCAAGTCACAGAATTTTAAAAAATTAATAACTCACAAACTATTTATAGTAATTTGATGCAGTATTCACAGAAATGCTTAGAAAGAAGCGTGATTTGTTTAGGTGTAATAAAAATTTTAGTACCAAAATAGTTACATTTCTTGCCATAGATGGCACAATAGGAAACTGAAAGCATTTGTAATTTGTTAAAATAAGAATAAAAAAATAAAAATATTCATAGTGTAAGCTCTAATAAGAACTATAGAAATTATGTAATCTTATCAAGCACCATCTACAGCAAGAAATGTAACTATTTTGGTACTAAAATTTTTATTACATCTAAACAAATCCCACTTCTTTCTAAGCATTTCTGTGAATACTGCATCAAATTACTGTAAATAGTTTGTGTGTTATTAACTTTTTAAAATTTCTGTGACTTTTGAATCACCCTGTACTTAATATAATAAATTCATCAATACAATTTTGATTCTACTGACTTACTGATGTCTAAAATGACAATAGAAATTAGCAGAGATTTCACAAAAGATTACGTAGAAATTAATATTTACTTAATAAAAAGTTGCTAATTTTTAAGTATTTTCTGGGTTAGGCTCTATCTTCAGAATCCAAAAACACTGACCAGAATTTTTTATTCTTTATCTGCCAAATTAAACTTGACATTTCCCTGCTGACTACAGCAAAAACTATACATTAGAAAGCCATGAAAGTTTGGGAATGCCATAAGGAGATGATGGGAATTTTTTCTAGAGCAAAAAAATTAGTTCCAAAAATCACCACCAGAGGGCATATTATAGCTTTATACAGAACATAACAATAAGCTACACAAGTTATCTATCTAATGTGAACAAAACATGATGGGCACCATTGTCTGCTATCAACTGAAAGCATAAAACAACATGTTCAATAGTTGCACACAGTGTGTGCCTTGGAATGTAATGCATATGGCATACTATGCTGTCTTTAATTATTTAAGGTCTGGCAGAGATGTGATGGGACCATGGTAGACAAAGCCTTTGAGAATGACCCAGAGTCAAATATTGCATAGTTTCAAGTCTGGAGATCTTACAGGCCAACATACCACTCATTATTTCAGCTTGAAAAGTGCTCTCTAGCAGTGGTATAGCATGGGTGTCAGCCGCCCAGGGCGGAGGAAAATTTCGCCGCCCCCTTATTTAGGTATCTCAATTTAAAAGACTAAAATTCAGTTTTGTCACAGAATAAGTAATAAAAAATTCCGTGCTCATTTCAATCGGTCCGAATCGTAGGTGCGACAAAAATATGAAATGAAATGAAATGGTTCAAATTTTTACAAGATATTATTATTATTTATTGTGAAATTTTGTCGCCCCCTAAAAAGTGCCACCTGGGGCGGGATGCCCTGCCGTCCCCACTACGCTACGCCACTGCTCTCTAATAGTCTAGTAGTGATTTTTAAAACTAATATTTTTTGCTCTAGAAAAAATTCCTATCATTTCATTGAGATTCCCAAACTTTCATGACTTTCTGATTAATAGCTTTTGCTGTAGCCAGCTGGTAAATGCCAAGTTTAATTTGGGACACCCTGTATATACATGGACTGAGTCAAAACAAGATGGAAATAAGTTGGGAGAAAATAATATGGGTCACTGTAAGCAAAAAACTTTATATGAACATGGATATTATTCTTAGTAATTTCAGAGTTTGAAAACTGCTCACACACAGCAATAATAATGAATAATACATGTTACATTCACAACAAATGCTCAGAAATCAAACCTTGAAGCTCAATAAACTTTAAAATCAAATCAGTTGAACTTCATATTGCTTTGGCTTGCATACCTATCACCATCAGTATGTCCAACATCTGCTTCTGGGAGATATGATGGTAAAACTCAAATGTCAGTGGATACACAGTCATAGCTGTGTAACTCAGATGAAGAAACAACACCGGTTGTAAAGCATATCATGGTTTAGCATTCTTCTAAACATTTATTATGAATGTAACATGTATCATTCATTATTATCGTTATATGTGAGCAACTTTCAAACAACTCTATCTCATAAACTAATGAGAATAATACCCACATTCATATAGTTTTTTGCTTTGCAATGACTTGTTTCTTGTCTCCCAATTCATTTTCTCCTCCTCCTGACTCTTCCTAAATATAAAGGAAAAGATTAAACACTAAACTAGTTTAATAAGGTCATTCATCATCAAATTAATAAAAGAAAAGATGTATTTACAATAGTTAAAATATGATAACATAAAGTGAAAACAATTTAGTAAAGTTCATTAAATTAACAAAAATAAAGTTATTTTCACAATGAAAATTCATATCTTAAAATCTAAAGACTATAAAGTAATATTCACTAATATAACATTACATATTGAGAGATGGAAATCATTGAGAATTAAGAAATTCAGTAGAAGTGGTTTCTTGATTAAGCATAACTGAACTGGTTTTGAGAATATATTTATATAATAAGATGACAACAACTGTAGTATGAATGGAATTATGAAATGAACTTACTCTGTGTGATTCATCTAACAAAAAGACATTTATAAAAAGAAATCACAACCCCAGATAAAAAAAATAAATAGCCAAATTATTTTAAAATCAGCTGAATATGCTACAAAAATTGAACTAAAAAATATCATAGTCTAATAATGAATGCTATAATGGCATCTCAAAACTTTTGGAAAGCCATAACTTGATACTTCTTTTTATTTAAATTTAATTAAATTAACTTTAAAAATGCAGTATTTATATATTTATGTAGATTGTTATTGTGTGATATCTACAGATTGGTGCAGTAGACCTCATGCTACACTCTTGGATGCTGTTTTCCTATTCTTTTTTGGGCAATATGCACACTTTTCTCCGGATACAGATGTTGACCGTGGAGGATCTGGTTTCTTTCTCAACACTTCCAGGATTTTCATACAGATATCCTCAGAAAAAGTAATGTATCTTCTTACAAGAAGCATTTTCATTTTCGTTTGTAGACTTACATTTAAGATATTTCACGTCAGATTCTTTATAAATAATTGTTTAATATTCATATCTCGTATCGTTTAAATAAAGAAAAGCTGGTTCTAGATAATAAATTTCTTGAAATAAATCAATACTTCCTGTGAAGAACGTCTTGTAGAAATATCCACAACCTTTTGAATAATTTCTTCCTCGTACAATCCCTTGATAAATAAAATATTTGTTGAGATCTCGGAGGGATTTTTTCAAAATACGGCCATATTTGTATATTTCAACTAAACTGTTCGATGATGTTAATGTTTCGTCTATATATAAAAGAATATCAAAATATTCTCTAAAGGCATGAAATTTTAGAGTAAGTAAGTTCTTAATATTGGAGTAAAACGAGCTTTCAAAATTTTTTGAAATCTTGACAATTTTATAATTTTTCAATAAATTTAGACTTTGAAGATTTGAAGTTCCTATAATGGACATTCTGATAATAAGGCTAAGAAAACTAATATTTCATGTCTTTGGAGAATATTTTGATATTCTTTTATATATAGACGAAATATTAACATCATCAAACAGTTTAGTTGAAATATACAGATATGGCCGTATTTTGAAAAAATCCCTCCGAGATCTCAACGAACATTTTATTTATCAAGGGATTGTACGAGGAAGAAATTATTCAAAAGTTAGTGGATATTTCTACAAGACGTTCTTCACAGGAAGTATTGATTTATTTCAAGAAATTTATTACCTAGAACCAGCTTTTCTTTATTTAAACGATACGAGATATGAATATCAAACAATTATTTATAAAGAATCTGACGTGAAATATCTTAGATATCCTCACTCACATTGTCTGCAAAGAAGAAGAATACATTTTCTTCTTCAAACTCATCAAGCCTTTTCAGAAATATTTCATCATGTTTTATGATAGTACATATATACAATATCAATTTGCAATTAAAATTGTACTGTACCACTTTGAATTTGAAAAAATACACACAGTATTACTTGCAGGTGAGCACCATGCTAACTTGTCCAATATAACTGAAACAAAGGTGGCACTAAAAGCATTAGCAATGACTATTATTTCTGATTCTAGTAGCTTGTTGAAGCAGATACTCAGGTAGAAGGTAGAAGAGAGATTGGCCACAAAACTTTCAATAAACCCAAGTTACATGCATTTTAAAAAGAAAGATAAGCACAGCACTCACCCTCAACTAATGGTGGGTTAAAAAAATTAATTAGTATCAGATTTCAATCTTTTAAAATTTGCTTTTATCAATCTAATAGTAAAATTTCTGAAACAGGAAATTCCATGGATAAAAATTCTCATGTTTTGATGAATAATAATAAATTTGTGATGTAATTATGCATTGTTAGAAGTTTTTAATAAAAATCAATTATTTTACTTAATTTTTTAAACAAAAACACAAATTTATTTAAACAGTAGTTATCTACAGTTTAACTAAATAATTAAGCTCTTAACATACAAAATTTAATTAAGTTAAATAATAAACTTAAAATTTTTCAAAAACTTTTTTACTTATTAACATTATTTTGTTCACTGATACATGGCACAATTAAAATTAAAATTAGTGCAATTAATTTACTAGAAGATTGCAATATTATAATACATGCACTGTGCAATTTTAGAAATATATTTGATTTTATATTACATTACCCCAAGCAGTTTGTCCACCATCTACATCAGGCATGCAAAATAGAAAAATATGATTTGTAAGTCAATATAGAAACTTTTAAAGCATAAGATTAACATAGAAAATTATTTTCTACTTATAAGATATTAAAAGTAAATGAAAAAATATCAACAATAGAATATTAACTAAAACTTTTTGCTAGCAAATGAATTATTTAATATATAATTGCTGTCAACATTTAAAAACCCAAACACAATGAGACATGTTCAAATTTAGCTTTTCAAAAAAAACTTTGATTTTTAATAATTTATTTCATATATAATAAATTATTTAA